GCCACTGAACTGTCCCCTCCCCACATCCCTCCCAAGGGTGCTGGCCCTCTGCTGGTGATCCTAGGGATACCAGCTCCCCTCCAGCCTAGAAAGGAGGAATTTAGCCAGCATCTGTGCAGCCTCCTCTTTATCAAAGGGTCTGCTAAAGTAAGATTCATAATGTCTAATGTGCTCCCTTCATCTGCTAATTTAATAATTCCTGTAAAAAAATGAGCTCATTTGGCCTACAATTTGCTTCCCAGAGGCCTCACAAAGCCCATTGCTCATAGCTTCATTAACTCTCAGACACAGGCATTCTCAGACCACCCCTTGTTTATAAGAAAGCAAAGCTGGGGTGTGATCGATTTAATGGGGCTGGCTCTGCTTCCACTGCTCCGCTACTTTGGAGAATTGGAGGGCCACACTCCCCTCCCACTCTGCCTTCTCCTGGCCTCTCTGCATTGGCTGAGAGCATGGGCTTATGTGCAATTGGACCAAGGCTCATTACCCAGGTGGAAGCGAGCCTGAAGACACCCTACAAGCTGGGCTCATCTCCATGGAACACAGAAGTACTCCCTGAGATGAGGGCGATTACTAGCCCATTCCCGCTGCCATCACAGAATGCCTGAGGCTAGATAATTAATACAGAATAAAAATGTGTTCTTTCTCTATTCTGGAGGTTGGAAGCTCAGGATCCAGGTGCTAGCAGGTTCCGGGTCTTGTGAGGGCTGCTCGCTATTTCCAAGATGGAACCTGATTTCATCCTCACATTGCAAAATGGCTGCTTAGTTTGTACTATCTAGTCTTCGTAATGAGGTCACTAATCCCACTGATGGCAACCCCCACCTTCATGACTTAACAGCCTCCCAATGGCCTCATCTATTACTTCTGTCATATTAGGGTTTGAGTGCTAGCACGTGAGTTTTGGAGGGAGACACCTGTTCAAACCATGGATGCAAGATGCTTGACTCTGTATCAGGGCTATTTTAGGGGGCTGCACTCATTTACCCTTTGATGCTTAAGAGAGAAGGTATTTCCCCCAAGCTTTGTACCAGGCCCCATCACTGGTTCCACCTTGGCCTTGCTGGCCTTGGGCAACAGAATCTTGGAGCCTGGTGTTCATGGATTCCTGAGAGACTGACAAACAAGCTTCACAGAGTCATTGATCCTGATGAAATTGAATGTAGTGTCTTTGAGTGTGTGTATCTGTGTGCGCACACACACACACACACACGCACTTGCCTGCACATGCATACATCTATACTCAGTTTCAAAGCTTTTACCAATCTCTCAGAGTTTCCGTCAAAGCTTTAGGATAGAGGTACGTGAACTTTTCTATAAAGCCCTGGAGATGGCTTTGAGGACCATGGCATCCCAACTGCCCAACTCTGCTGCCACAGAACAAAAGCACACCAAGAAATGGAGGCCAGCTGTATTCTAATACAACTTTATCAACACAAGCAAGCTAATGGCCATAGTGGACCCATAGCTGGTTAACATCAGTGAAGGAGGGTATTCTTGTGTTGGAGAGGAATTTATACTAGGAAGTCCTTCAGATTCTTCAATTCATTTATCCATTCACTCATTCATTTGTTCACTCAGTATAGAAAGCTATATTGAGCCCTGGATGTCTATTATAGGCATTATACTAGGTATCACAGATAGAAAGAGACACAAATGCAGCCCTTAAAGACTCTACAGCTTGGAGCCAGGCACCAATGGCTCACATCTGTAATCCTTCACAATTTGAAGCCAGCCTGGGCTGGAAGTCCCTGTTAGACTCTTATCTCCAATTAACCACTAGAAAACTGGAAGTGGCACTGTGACCCAAAGCAGTAGAGTGCTAGCCTTGAGTGAAAGAGCTCAGGGATAGTGCCCAGACCCTGAGTTCAAGCCCCATAACTGACCAAAAAGAAAAAAAAAAGACTGTACGGCTTGGTTGTGCAGGGAACACCTGTCATTTGGTGTGAAAAGGACTGTCAGAGAAGTTTCTACAATGTACACAGTGGTTGATAAGAGATCATATAGGGATAGGGAAAAACTCGATGGAGGTTTTGCAGAATAGAAGAAGTTTGAGCTGGGGGCGGGGAGAGGGGCGCAGGCAGTCACTGGAAGAAAAGGGATTTTCTAAGTAGGTGATGGGGATGGGTGCCCTTGGCAGAGGGAATAGCACATACAAAGGCACTGTTTGAGTAAGTGTAAGGTGGCCTAGACCTAGAGTGTGCAGACAGAAGTCAAAGACAAAGGGGGCTATAGGGGAAGGCAGGATGGTAACAGGAAGGGTACTTAAGCTAAGATTAGGGTCTTGGAATATCTTCTGAGAACAAAAGGATTTAAGCTATAGTTCTTAGTGAAACTGTATCTTATAAATGACTATGCATGTGTGATTTCTCTTATTTTCTGACATTGCTATATTAGATATTAACTCAGATTTGTGTGTGTGTGTGTGTGTGTGTGTGTGTGTGTGTATGTATGTTTTTTGTCAGCCATGGGGCTTGAAGTTGGGGCTTGGGCACTGTCCCTGAGCTTTTTCACTCAAGGCTAGCACTCTATCACTTTGAGCCACAGCACTATTTCCCATTTTCTGGTGGTTAATTGGAGATAAGTCTCATGGACTTTCCTGCCCAGGCTGGCTTTGACCACAACCTCAGATCTCAGCCTCCTGAGTAGCTAGGATTACAGGTGTGAGCCACTGGTGCCCAGCTCAATTCACATTTTAATATGTAATCCACCAAGCCTTTACATTTTCCTAATTCAAACCACATTGCACAACTCAAAGTTTCAGTGATGGAGCAATTTTCCTCCAAATGATAGCAAATTCAAATTTAACTTCCCTTCCTCCCTCCCTCCTCCTCTCCTTCTCCCTCTCCGCCCTCCTCTGACTATGGAGTTCAGAACAAGGTTAGCACAATATTACCAGGAAAATATCTGTAAAAATGTAATGAGAATGAAACAGTCCCTTTAATAAGAACACATAACTTACTAAAAACAATCTTAATGCACTTCCAACACCAAAGCCTTGGAAAAAGCTTTTGCTCTCTGCCCCAGGAATGAGAAATCTTTCCAAAAGCTCCCTCCATGAGGAGCCTGGACAGAGATAGAGGCAGAAATCAGAAACCACAGAATAATATAGCCCGTGGGCAGCCAGCACGTGGAGACAGGAGCAAAAATGACAACCACCCAGTGTAGCTACAGATCCCACTGCCTCCTCTTTCCTCAGCTGGCCGATTTCCAACTTGGATTTAGGATGTCAAATCCTCATGCTATTCTATGCTTTGGTGTTTCTTACTGAATTATTGGCTCCTTTAGAGCAACGGCTGCATCTGTCTTAGATTCCAACATAGCTGTGCCCCCCAATTGGTGCCCAATTTACACCCAGCTGCCTTTCCCCATTAGCTCCCAGGGGCAGTTATGGGTTGCAAATTATAAAGAGTATAAACTCAGGCTTGGGGCTCTGGAATCCGAGTGGGTGAAGATCTAAAATGTCAGCTGTCCCATGTCTCTTTCAGCTCTCCACTAATTTTTTCAATCATGTGCACTACTGCTATTCATCAGGTGTTTCTATCTCTCTACCTTCTAGGTACATGGTAGCAAGACATTTCCTGGCTCTCTTGCAGTTGGATGTGTCATGTGACTGGCTCTAGCCAATGATTCATGAGACAAAGTAACCCTGTGATTAGTTTGGGCCAATGGCATACAAGTAAGAGTGGAACTTCCAGGCTGACTGATTATTAGAGTGAGACCTTCAAAGTCATGTTCTGTGAAACACAGTGATTGACAATGTTCAAGGCAGGGACAGATCCATCAGTGACCTCCAAGCTTAAATGACTATTTTGAGTGTCTCCTGTCAACCCCAATAGATAGGAAGCAAGAATGAGAAATGAAGCCAGGCACTGGTGTCTCATGCCTATAATCCCAGCTACTCAAAAGGGTGAGATTGGAGGATCGTGGTTCTAAGCCAGCCTGGGCTTAAAACCTGAGAGATTCATTCTTTTTTTTTTTTCCCAATCGTTCTCCAATGGTCCTTGAGTCTCCTTTGGATGTTTCCTGTGTTATGGCCCAAGTAGTGCACTTTAGGATAGAGGGGGACAGCAAATTCTTTGGGGTTTTTCTTTACTGGTAAAGAAGTCAAAACACAGAGGGCAATGGTGAAGTATGTAGGGTCACAAAGCCTCAGGGTTGTAGGGTTAGGACAAGAAGACTTGTGTGCCTTTGAGAGAAAGGATTCTAAAGCCTAACCAGGCAGCAGGAGAATGAGTAGAGGGGAGGAGAACTGGAGGAATGAGAACAGACATTTTACACCCAAGAGACAGAGCAGTGCTCACTAATAGGGTCCACATGAGGAAAGGCACTTGGGCCATCAAAGCCTCTCAGGTGTCTTCATGCAGGTGAGCCTCTGCTCCTGTGGTCTGCTACCCCTCCACCTCCCATTCTCCCCTGGAAAAGACTCCTCCCCAACCCAAACAGGCCTGCTAACCCTGAAACAAGTCCTGTATTAGTCAGCTTTCTGTTGCTGGAACTCACGTGTAAGACAATTGGCTTCTGTTTTTGTTGTTGTTGTTGTTTAGCTGTGTTTAGTTTTGTTTGTTTTTTGTTTTGTTTTGTTTTGTTTTTTTGTCAGTCATGGGGGCTGAACTCTGGGCCTGAGCACGGTCCCTCAGCTCTTCAGCTCAAGGCTAGCACCTTACTACTTGAACCACAGAGCCACTTCTGGCTTTTTTTTCTGCTTCTGTGGTGCTGAGGAATCGAACCCAGGGCCTCATGCAAGAGGCAAGCACTCTACCATGGAGCCAACTTCCCAGCCCTAGTTTCGTTTTTTTAATGTCACTATTAGAATTTCACTAATGGTATATATTTTAAATATATCTGTACATATTCATCTCAGGAACCAGATTGACTTGTTTGAAAAAGTAACAAAAGAGGATTAAGTGTATTTTAGTGGACATTTTTGAAATATTTACTAATTGCACAGATATCATAGTCATAATTTCTTGTTTTTTGTAAGAAAAGGAAGTAGAGATTTAGGGAAGGAGAGAGAGTAAAGCAGAGAAAGATTTGAAGATTTGAAGGGCTGTTTTCTATTATAGGTTAACTTGACAGCCTTTAAAAATGTAAAGATGCTGTAAGTGGATGCATGCATAAACAAAATGTAGTATCTACATCCAATGAAGCATCATTCACTATTTACAAAGGAAGGAAATTGTATTGTATGTGACTACAAGGTTGAATCTTTCCCTTTTTTGATGATGTATGTATGAAATTTTATTTATACTCATTGCTTATTAACCTTGAATATAATATTCATAATACAGTCAACCTATTAATAAAAGGACTTTTTCTTTTTTCTGAAAATTATTTAAAAGTAAGTTATTTCTATTTCTGAATTGCATACAGTTCATATATTTATTTATGAATATTTAAAAGTATATTATATTTAAAGGTACATTATGTTGTGCAAATTATTTATGATATGTGGCTTTTAATGTATTCCCTATATGTCACCTTTATTGAATAAACAAAGGATGTGAATCTCTGATCTCATATAAAAGAATCCATATACAGACATTTGCACACACACAAAGACAATTGGCTTCTAAACAGTTTGTTCTTGCTCAGAGTTTTGGAGGATTTGGTTCATACCTGGGCAAGCCCATTACTTATAGATGTCAGAGGATGGGCAGTGTCAATGTGTAATGACAAGGAGCCAGTGGTAGAGAAAACCATTCACCGCATGGCCAGGACACAAACGATGACTCTGAGATCCCATAACCCCCATCCAAGAGCACACCCCCAATGACCTAAAAACCTCCCACGAGGCTTCCTCTTCTAACAGTGCTATGGTAGGGAACCAACCTTTGACAAATGGAGACAGTTAAGATGTAATCTGCCTCAAGTCCTCTCTGCATTTAAATACAGGCATGGAGGAAGAGAAGGAGCAAGGAAGTTGATATTTGAGAATTTCAGTAGCTCATGCTATGTGTCCTCTATGGGGTGGCCTGCCCTCATCTGCTCCCTAGCCCCCGGCTTCCTTTCTCTCCTACAGTTCGTACTGGGATAGTTCCTCAGTTTGGAGGTAGATGGGGAGGTTGGAGACTAAGCAATTAGCACACAGTTGGGAGTAAAGGTGCCCAGGGAAATTTCCTGCAGACAAGAGCCTGGCAGACGGGTAGGCACAGCAGGCAAAAGGCAGTGATGGAGGCAGCCTCCTCCACCGGCGGCCTGCTCCCTCTCCTCTGGCAGCAAGCCACTAGCATGGGGACAGCAGGCCAAGGGGAGGGGAGTCAGGGGTTACTGGTCTGAGAGGGGGTGGGCTAGGAGTGAAGGAGCGTATGCCTCCTCCCCTTCTCCATTCCCCTTACCAGGGAGGGACAGCTACTGGGTCCTTGGATTGCCAGCCTGGGATTGGAGGACTCCCCAGACACAGACTCCAAAGTCTCAGCACACACAGCACACCTGCACGCACTTGTATATATACAGAGTTTCCACCTGAAGCTGCTTCCCCCATCTCACATTATCCCAAGAGGAAGGGGCGTCTAGAGCCAACCTCTTCAGTGGGGGCTCCCTCTTATCCTTTGCTTCCCCTCTGCATACCCTCACTCCCAGAAGCCATTCAAAGTGTGTCTGAGCCTTACTCCAAAGAGGGTGACTGAACAGGAGACCAATGTACAGAGACACAGGCCCATGAATGACTTGCCTGCCATCGTCTGGAGGCTTTGGGTGGTCACAGTGTCTCTGGCCACGAGTAAGGAAGTAAGACTTACGCTCATTGGTGGAGCACTTTGTAAGCTCTCGGCTAGATAAACATAAATGGGACCCTCCCCACCCCAGTCCTGGGTGTGCTGGGCCAGATGTGTGTCCAGCCAGATGTGGGCTTGATGAACATTAATGTGCACCCACAAAAACATTTTATTCCATTTTATTCCACCTAAATGGAATGTCTCTCATTCCATCATTCAGTAGTTAGGAGACACTAGGGATCAACATCGATAGCATACAATCTTAGTGCTCAGGCAGCTCACAGTCCAACTCAGTGATTTCAACTTTGGTTATTTATTGGGCAGCCTAGAACCCAGGGTGCCTAGAAAGATGGGGGTGGAGCAGATACTGAGGCTTAAATTCAGAGCCTCTTACTCTTAGTTTTGTTTTGTTTGTTTGTTTTGCCCAAGGCTTGTGCTCTTCCACCTGCGTTATTCCTCCACTGTCAGCTTTTTGCTAGTCATTGGAGATACTTCTTATAGATTTTTCTGCCTGGGCTGGCTTTCAACCACAATACTCAGATCTCCACCTCCTTGGTATCTAGAATTACAGGCATGAGTCAGCAGCATCCAGCCGGATGCTTGAACATGTGTATGCTTGGTTTCCTACCCCCACCCCCTGAGATTTATAGTCAGTGGTTCTGGAATGGGATTCAGCCAGTCATGAGTTTTAAAGCTCCTCTGGTGATGCTAATGTTCAGTCAGGGCTGAGACCCAACCATCTAGTGGAGAAATTAGACATATACCAAAAGACAGAATGGGTCATTTTCCAATAAATGCACACACAGTAATAACAGCTAACACGTATTGAGCCATTGTGTGCCCAGCACGTTGCCAGCTCCTATATTAGCATATTTCTTCTTCCCCAAAGCCCAGTAACTCTAGGCCCCTTGTTGCCCATTCCACAGACCAGTAAATGAAGCTCAAGGGCTCTATCAAGTTAACTTATTAAAGAGAAGACTTTACCAAAAAGGTGGCTTTTTTGTGCTCTACCTGGAAAGAAGATAGAATTTTGCCCTGGAGAGAGAGGTAGAGGTGCAGGGTGGGGGAGGGGAATAACACAATGGACCATCCATTAGAGTTCATGGCCGGGGAGGTTTTTAAAATCATAGGAGTGCGGGATACTGACAGTCCCAAATGGGGGTGAGGGGAGTTAGGTCACAGAGGTGGTAAGGGGCCAAATGATCGGAAGAGAACATTTGAGGACAAATAGAAGGTAGAGCTACTTTTCCCAGCAGGTAGCAATTATATGCCCCTTGTTATTATCCCCAGAGGAGGCAGGATGAAAATAGAATGTCAGGATGGAATCAGAGAAAGTAGACCCAGAACCCAGGAGGAGTCTGAGGGCGGGGGCGGTGGGGGGAGGGTAAGAAGTTCATACTTCATCTCTAACTTCCAGAGAACAGGAATGGAGCTCAGCCACCACACCCTCCACTCAGAAACTACATGGCCTGGAAAGATGAGCTGAGTCAGGGCTCAGAGGCCAAATTCTAGACACTTGCTTTCTCTCCACCTGAGCTTCACCATCTGGAAAGTAAAGGCAGCAATGTGTTTACCTCTTGATTTCCAAATGGAGTTCTTGTGAGCCCAGAGGGAGGCTGCTGGTAGCGGAAGCTACGTTGGGGGTGGTTCTTCCAACATGGAAAGACCAGCTTTCTTTGCTTTTATACCTCGCTACAGGAAAAGCCCCCGCTCCTTGATCCAGAATGTCTGCAACTGAAATAGCTCTGATTTTGAGATAAAGAACCCCTTAAAGATATGATAAATTACACTGAATTCTAGATACTCCACATACGATGAGAACAAAAGAGTAGTCAAGAGAAAATCACAAAGGTGCAATACGCAAGCACCTCTTCATATGCATGTAAAATAATATACATACCGAAACTAACTGCAAAGGACTCTGTATTCTTTACCTTATACATCATGGTGTATTCACGTGCTCATCTGTGGCAGGGTGTAGGGAGGGCACAGAATCAAAGGAAAGGGGGTGAAAAAGTGCAGCCGTGGTGCACACTGGACATTGAGGAAAGTGAACTATGCAACTCATAGGTGGAGATGGGAGGGAGGGAATGGGAGAGAAGGAGGGAACGGATGACATTGTATGAAAGGAAATGTACTCATCACCTGACGTATGTAAAGGTAACCCCACTGTAGAACACTTCTACAATAACAATAAATTAGAAAAAAATAAGAATCCCCATTCCCACTCCAATGACAGCAACCCCATTAACAAAGGCTTTCGTTGTGAAAGTGCTTGGCACAAGAGATGTTCATCACTTCCGGATCAGGGTCAGGAGCTAAGTGGATATCTGGGCAGAAGCAAATGGGAGCCTTAGGCCTGCAGAAGTCTGAACTCCCTACTGCCAATCATATGAGGTGGGGGCTGGCTAGGAGGGAAGAGCTTCAAACTCCCTACCCAATGCTCCACTCTGAAACCCATCTTCCCCTACCACCCCACCACCACTACCACCACACTTCTCCATGGAACAGGAAACCTCCAGTCAGTTTTAATGAGATTCTGATGGCAAACGCACAGCCAAGTCTTTGCTCTATGTGTTCAGGGCACTTCCAGGTGTTGTTCACATGGGATTTTTTTTCCCACCTAATTTCAACAATTCCATGAAGTAGGTTACATTTCTGTCTCCAATTGACAGATGAGTACCGTGGGGGAGAGAGGCAATCATACTATTACTAAGCCATGGACTGAAGCTATGGACCCAAATAGTCTGCCTCTAGGTACACCCTTGAAACCTCTAAGGCTATGTACAGTACCAGCAAGACAGAGGCCCAGGACAACACAAGCAGAAGGAAGATCCTGAAAGGGAGGAGGGAATAGAAATAATAATTTTAAAAAGACAGAAAAATGCTAACAAATATTCTAAGTGATGTAGAAAATATATTGCATGCATAATATAGATATAGGGTACTATGAAAAAATAGAGAATAAGAAAGGTCTTTAGAAAACTGAAAACAAAATAGGAAATAGCATCCACAACCAATTTTATAAAATAGAATCAAGGAAATCTGGAAAGTAGATCAAGTGGTAAAGACCTGAAAAAATAAGGGATTAAAAAAACCCACAAACGATGAAAAACATACACGAAGAAAAATCATACAGGAATGGAGGTAGACTGAACTCATTCCCTGAATTTTGACTCAGCCCACTAGCCAACTCTTTCACTAAATAGTTATTGCAGCTCCCTCCTCCCCACTAAAAAGGCCCCTTGCTCTGATGTTGTATTTGCTTTGGGTCACCTGGTGTTAAAGGATGGGATAGATCTGTTCTCAGACATCCTCTTGTAAAATTTTAGAACATATGGACAAGGAAATGATCTCGAAAGCTTCTGAGGGGT